CACCACATGCTGTCATTCCACGGCTTCCAGAAAGCCTTCTGCAGTTGTTTTGACAACACACCGCCTACCTCTTCTCAAAGAACAAGGTTGTGGAGAGCAGAGGCCAGAGGAACCCTTACAGTAACCCCAGTTTTTGCCACTTCAGGTCATATCAGGGGCTTGAATGTGGACTTCAACAGAGGCTCCCCACCTTCTAGAACAGGCCTCCTTCAGACAGACCAGAAAGCCAGAGGAAGGGACTGAGCACACAGTCTGTGCTGTGCCTTGAAGGCTGAGGTGACAGGCAGAGAGAGGAGAAGGTGAAATGGTCAGGAGCCCAGAGGCTGGGGAGGGGGTGGAGCTGAGATCAAGGGCACTTCACCAGCTCACCTGGCCCCCAGGGGCCGGGATAGAAGGGGTAGGCAGTGCTAGGAGTGCAGGGCTGAGACCCCGCCCTCCCGACCCCAAGCCAGCATAGGAAAGTAGAGGAAGACTGTGCATTCCGGCAGATCTCTGGTCTCCACTGGAGGAGCTCTTGGGACCTGCACGAAATGGAAAGCTTTGCGCTGCCGCTGGGAAACCAGTGTTTGTAAGGAGGAAGATTGAGTCCCCTGTGGTGGCCCTCAGCCCCGCCCATTCCATCCAAGCAAAGGATCAGTTTCTGGGAGTCCCTGGCCCCAGCCAAGCAAGGCCGCAGCCAGGAGAAAGGAAGGAGCTTAGTACAAATATAAATACCTTTAATGAAAAGCCCTGCTGCGCTCTGCAGAGCCTGGACAACCACCGCCAGGGCAGGGCTGGAGGCACAGGCACTGCCACCTGACCTGATAGGCTAGGCCAGAGGCCCCAGGAGGTAGGTCAGAGCCAGAGCAGCCGCCAGCAGTGGGGGCGCAGGGGCCATGGGGAGTGCAAGTGCTGCAGCTGGCAGTGTCTCCTGGTTGGTTTTGGAGCCTGTACCGCGCTCCCGAACATGCACCGGGGCGCTGCACAGAGTGTGCAAGTTACTCGGATGGGGGGCCCGGCGAGCTTCTTGTTGTAGTGATTCCCACACTGCAGCTGCCTCCTCCGGACAGCCCAACAGGACCCGAGAGGCACAGGCATGGAAGTCATTCCAAGATCTGTTAAGGGAGTGAGATTAGGGGGATTAGGTGAGGCAAGGAGATTTTGGTTTGGGAAATAAAAGGTTCAGTCCCCAATGGTGGCACAGGTTAGGCCACTGCCTCGCACCCGCTGGTACCTGCAGATGGTCTCCAGCTCGCCTCCGCGGCCCATGCCGTCCCCCAAGCGGATGAGACACTCGGCGAAGCCCTGGTATATGGTGTCACAGCGGTTTGGGCCCGCTGCAGCTGCTGCCAGGCGAGGTACAAGGACTAGAAGTGGGGTGGGGGTGGGGGAATGGTAGATAGGATGAGTCAGGCCTGTCCCCCAGCCCCCAGGGGCTTGTTTACCTGGGAGCACTCTGGGGATGTGACTCAGCGGAAAAAGGGTGCCCTAGGGAACTAAAGGGCAAATCTGGGGATTACCTACCCAGGCCCCCTTCAAGGTAAGACCCAGACTGGGATTTGCACAGGGGGAGGGGATGTTGTGTCCCCCAAATCAGCTCTTCCTCTGAGCTTCTGGGGCCCCAGGTGGGATGAGGAGGGTTCACGTGAAGGAATCAGGATAGGGTGGAGGGGAGGGTGGTCCAGAGGCCCGGGACTAGAAACAGGTGCATCTCTCTGCGGTTTAGACAAGCTTTGCTTGGCCCTCCAAACTCTCTCTAAAGATAGGTATTTTTGGAGAGACAGGGCAGGATGCAGAGGTATTGGGATCCAGGCCAGACCCTCAGAGAGGACTTAGGGATCCTATGACCCATCTATAAGTCCTGCCATTGGCATGTCTCCCTTTATCATAAGAGGGGATGCAAATTGTGGAGTCCTTCTCCCATAACTAGGGCTATTTGTGCCTCTCACTTTCTGTCCTGAAGTCACCAGCACACCTTCCTGGAGCCCTTGCAACTCTTCTCCACCCTGGTGCCCAGTGTTCCCACACACCCTATGCCCAGTCTGGCCTGGCTGGGCGAGAAGGGGGTGTGGCCCGGGCCCCGGACGCCCGCACTCACCGAGGGGCAGCAACAGCAACGGCCTCAGGG